CCTATTTGAATTTTGTAGATTGTATTAGTGTGTGGTAGTATATTTGCACTTTTTTTTGTGTATTAGTGTATTTTGGTTTGTTAGTGTGTGTGCTTTTGTTGTATTAGTGCATGTGTGTGATTTGGTGTATTAGTGCAAATTTGTGTCTGTGGTGTATTAGTGTCCCTATGTGCATATTTTGGTGCATTTATATACTTGTGTGTTGGGGTGTATTATAGTGTGTATGTGTTGATGTATTAGTGTATGTATTTTCAGTGTATTAATGTATGTGTTTTGATGTATTGGCATATTAGTATGTATTTTAGTGTATTAGCAGGTGAGGGGGTTGTATTGGTAAATTAGTATGTGTATGTGTTAGCTTTGGTGTATAGGTCTGTATTTTTGATGTGTTAGTGTGTGTATTGTATTAGTGTGTGTGTATGTTTTGGTGTATTATTGTGCATATGTGTAGTTTGGTGTACATATATATGTGTGTTTTTTGAGTATGTTTGTGTGTGTTATGATATATTAGTATGTATATGTTGGTGTATTAGTGGGGGTTTGTGTATTTTGGAGTATTAATATGTGTGTTTGTGTTTCAGATTATTAGTGTATGTATTTTTGTGTATTTTAGTATTTGTTTGTTTCGATATATTAGTGTGTGCATTTTTATGTCTTTATGTTTGTTTCGGTGTATTAGTGTCTATGGGTGTGCGTGTTTGATGTATAAGTGTGTGTATGTATTTGTTTATTGTGTATTTTTTTTGGTGTATGATTGTGGCTGTGTTTTGAGTATTAGTGTGTCTGTGTTTTGATGTATTATTAGTTATATTTTTTTGTATTTTAGTATTTTTGTGTGTGTGGTTCGGTGGGTTAGAGTTTACATTTTTTTGTTTATTTTTTCGTGTGCGCGCATTTTTTTTGTGTTTTGGTGTATTAATTTTTGGTGCATTAGTGTGTTTTTGTGTTAGTTTGTACTTTTTGATGTATTAGTCAAGGATCAAAATATCGTTTCGGCGCATTGTTTCAGTCACCAAAATAAAAGAAGTGTTTTGGAAACATAATATAAACGAATAAAAAATTTAGAAATTTATTTTAAAAACATTTCAAAGTATTGGTTTAAATATATCTAAACATCTTGAAACACCTCGAAACATTCCAAAATATTGGTGGAAATATTGATTGTCTTGATTGATCTATTTAAATATGGGTGATTTATTGAAACAAAGATCAAACTGAAGGCTGGAATATGTTCCAATCTGTAATTGGAAGGAATGATAGAGACCATTTTTCGTTTGTTAGCTGAAAGTCAATCTATAACTTGAAATGACTTAGTTTGGGTTCCAAATAAGCTTTAGCATTATTAATCACTTCATTCCAAGTGGAATGGAATGAATGATTTAGGAGTATGTGGATTATCAAAATTTTTGTTTTTGTTTTTGTTTCTGGTTTAAGTTTTTTTTTTTGCTGGATGAATTTCAAGAATTGGATGTCATTTTCTTAGTGTGGAACTCCATGAAAAAAATTTGTCCAAAAGTGCCTGCAGATGTTTGTTACTGCTTCCACTAGAAGTGTTGAGATACCACAGGATATGCTTTTAGAAAAATTTATGCAGTTGTTCATGATTAAATATGTTGTTCTGAATTCAAATATTTGTGATGGATATGTAAACTAAACTTGGAGCATAATCATGGTTTGAAAAACAACCATCATAATCATGGTTTGAAAAACAACCATCTCATATTTATAAAAGCTACTTTTCAGTTTTCAATTGTAATGACAGAGCACCCAAAACACAAAATTTGACCATCCCCGTAACGTGTCACTTTCTTCTTTCTTTCTCCTCTTCACGTTCCCCTTTTAGTTTTTTTTTTTTTTTTGGGTTTTGGCTTTAGTTGTGAAGTGATTAGAGCTTGCTTTAACTGTTACAAAATCCTAGACTAGGACATCCGTTTATGTGTCAAATGCTGTTTTTCATAAACCCGACCTCCATCTGCCCATCCAAAAACGTCCTTATTTTCTCAAACCTAAGTCTTGTTTCATCCGTTATGTGTTTGATAGTTATTCCACTGTTGCTCTACCAAACACATCCTTCTGCTGTAATGCACAGGGTTTTGTTCAAGACTGCAGGAATGATGTTGCACAGTGATCTAAGAGGCATTGCTTTTCCATTGGTTCAATATTAACTAGAAGTCATTTCCTGTTGCCTTACCTCGATTATCCTACAGTAAACTGATTGCTTCTTGGTGTTGCGGTGTTTATTGAGCTTGTTTACCAAGAGGAAAGATTGTAGAGGTTTTCCAAGAGAAGGTGATGCCACAGACAATAGTTTAACCACCAACCATAAATGTTTGTGATATTCAGAGACGAATATCACAAATAAAAGACAGTTTTTGAAGGAGATTGGTATCTTTCTTTAGTGACATCTTTTTCCTTGAAATAGCATGATCACACATTGTTCTTTCTTGTTCTTGAACAATATCAATTTCAAAGGGATCTTCTTTGAAGCTTTTCAAAATTAGTGACATCTACTCAACTTGGGTCACGCCTTTCTTTCTGGTTCCTTGAAATTATTGCTGTTAAAGATAATGTTTCACATTATAGTCTGAAGATTACCGTGTAGATTTATATTCCAGCGAATGAAACTCACCCACGGTAAGAGTGATACCTTTTTTCAAAGACATGCTCTTTCTATGTTAAAACTAACTTTTTCAATTCTGTTTTTTTTTTTTCTCATTAGGTTGTGATCCAAAATTAATATTTTGTCGGTTTATAAGCTCTCTCTCTATTTCCCTTGGCCGCCATTCTGGCCAAAGACATAATTGGCAACTCAGGGTTGGATAACGTGGGTTTCCCAAGGGCATAAGTTGATTTGGAGTGTTTTATCTTCTTTACCTTCAGTTGCTAATAGCTGCAAGCTTAGGTAGTGATGTCAAAAAGCCCCATGAACTTGAATTGGCAGGTGTTGTCATAATATGTACAAATCTTTGATGAGGAAAAAAACTGGTTCACATTATCTTATTGTTTGATTGTCATCTTCAATTTCTTTCTCCAGGTCTGTTGCTACCGTGAAGCAAAGAATATGGTATGCCTAAGTGATCACTGCTTATCATAGGTTCTTATCTGTCATTGAGAGGAACGAGCAGGACCAATATTTTTGTTTATGTAAAGTCATTTTATAACTTGAAGTGATATTGTTTGGGTTCCAAAATAGACTGTTTTATATCATTTAATATTGAGTTTCCTCTCTCTCCCCCTCTCTTCCTCTCATTCGGTTTTATTTATTTGATCATCTTTGTTTTTTGTAGTTAGGCAATATTAAACCCAAACAAATTTTTTTTTGAAGCTGTTTATTAATCAGTCACATCTACACAACTGATTTTTTTTGTGTCACAACTTTCTTTCCGGTTTCATGGAGTAAATACTTTTCAAGATTAATGTTTCATAGTAGCCTATGAATGCTGCAGAGTTGATTTATATGTGAGTGATTCATTTTATTAAACTCAACCTTGGAAAGAATTATTTTTTGAAGGTATGTCCTTTATATGTTTAAATCACCATTGTTTCAACTGTTCTTCTTTTTCTCCTCAGTCCTGTGATTCTGCTGTTTATGAAGAAGCATCTAGTGCCTCAATTCTGTAAAGATCTCTCTCCCTCTGTCTCAATTCTGTAAGTCCTCTCTCTCTCTTTCTCTCATAATTTTTCCTGTTGATCTTCTTGGTGGTACTTCTGTTTTTATTCTGTTATAATAAAATCTCTTGTTTGATCAATTTTGTTTTGTCAGATTTTTCCTTACAGTTGTTTATCAAATTAACTTTATCACATCTTTCGCGCATGTTTCTTCGACCAACTCTTTCTTTGAAGCCTTTCAATTAGTCCCATCTATTCAACCTATGTTGTTGGCTCACATCATTCTTTCCCATTTCTTGAAGTTCAAGCCTAATGTTGCAATGTTAATACGTGTGTACTTTACTTTATCAGACTTGTGCATGGAATTAAAGGTAAAAGTTGCAAGGGTTACATGAATTCATTATTTCATTTCCGTTCTTTCTTGTCTCCTTCTATTGTGAATTAACGTGATCCAAAATCGAATTTTTGTACCAGGTTAGAAGCTTTGCCAAATGCTGCAACCTGAGGTAGTAAGGTCTCTTTTATTTTGTTTGAAAAAAAATTCGAAACTTCAACTAGTACACATTTTCTTATAATTTTGTTGTTTTGTTTGGTTGCCTTAGTTACTGACCAGGTGCTTATTTGAAACAAAGATCAAATGAAGGCTGATTCCCATTCATATGTTCTCCTCTGTCATTGGGAGGAATGAGTGGATGTGTTTATTTTATTTGGTAAAATTCACTCTATGATTTGAAATGGTTTTGTCTGCGTTCCAAATAAGCTTAAAATTACTAAGCACTTCATTCCAAGTAAATGGCAAGAAGCATAAATAGGGGTAGTTTTGAAAATCCATTGAATCCTCCCATAGGTAGACTACTGACCTTTAACCTCTTCGATTGATTAAGTTGAGACAAGCAAGCAAACCATGTATGACTTTTAAATGGGGGTTAGACACTAGTCCTTCAAAAGACTACACCTAAGCTGAAACTGGCACCTGAGAAATTCCAACACATTATTATTTCCTGCCGGTTATGATCTTAGATTGAAAAATCAAAATCATGAACTAGCCCTGTTGATCTACAACAAAGTGGCTGACTCTTTAGCTAACTTCGGCTGCGATTCTTAGTTTGACCATTGGTTTTCCTCTACAACTGATCTTCCTCAACAAATTAAGGATTGTTTATGGTCTCCACTTTTCCCTGTTAGTAATGTTTTTTGATTTTGGTCTTAGTGGTTAAGCGATTAGAGCTTGCTTTGTGTGGTACAAAATTCTAGACTGCTCATTCACTTAGAGCTGAACTCTTGGTTCCTGTGTTAAAGATCTTCCCATGGGAAACCCTCTTAAGTCAGCAATAACAGCCATTCTTTAGTTAGTAAATTTCCATGACGAGAAGTTTGCACTAATTCAAACAATGCTGAAAAGGCGGGTGGGAGGGACCATTGTATCCATAATGTCTCAAGTGAAAGAATTCTGTTCTAGTTTTGAAAAGAGGCATAATTATAGCCTGTAAGTTCCCCTTGGTTCTCCTAGCATTATGGCATGATCGTTTAGATATAAATTTTGGTTAGAATTTTTGGATTAACATGTCACTATCAGGTTTTTCCATTGGACATTGCCAAAGCGTATGTCCATACGCATGTACAATAGAAAATGCTGTTGGCTGTGGTTAATGTATTTTAAACATTCGTTTTGTACAGCATTTTGAAATGCTGTCATTTAAGGAAAGTTAATTTACTATCATTAGACTTGTGTCTTCGATCAACTTAAATCTTCATCAGGTTCTAGATAGAAATGTTAGTAGTTTAGATTTGTTTGGATTGTCTAGACATGACCTTTTTTCGCATTTAGATTTTTGCAGTGCTCAGTGTAACAAATCAGCTTTTAATACTTTGCAATCCCTTTTAACAGGTGATTTACTTTGATGAAGGTCGGAAGTTTGACAAGGATATCACTGTTGGCCTTATTAGCAGTGAATTGCTGAACCTTGCGGAGTATAATGTTCACATGGCAAAGCTTCTTGATGTGGGAAGGAATAGTATGTACGATCAACACCTGATTTTACAAAGTAACAGTAGAAGAATTGACTCAACTATCTGGTCGCAAGTATTTTGCAGAAGCGGCTAGTGAATTTTCCATATCCCTCATACAATCCTTGGTGATTAACGATTCTAGGGCCATATCGAAACTTCATAATCTTGTTGATGCACTGGCAAAGGTTTATTCTAATTCATATTGTGTGAGCAAGTGCACTTACTCTTACCACTCTGGTCTCTGAATGATTTTAGACGTGCAGCTTGCGCCAGGACCTGGTTCTCCTGAGTCATTACAACAGCTGGTTGAGATTGCCAGGAACCCTACTGCTAGTGCCGCTGCTTTGTCTGGCATAACTGTTGGCAAGGAGGATACTAATGCTCAATCTAGAAATGAGAAGGTTAGCATAATTGCTACTATTCTATCCTTGATTAGGTGCCTTAGTGAGTTCTGTGGATCCTAACAATTCAATTTTGGCTGGAATAGGCAACTGGACAGTCTCTAGCAGGTTGGGAAGACTACGATATTGCAGATTTGTTTGAACCAGATCCTGCTGGTTTTGAGCAGGTTGCACATAAAACTTATTCTTCTCGATACCATTCGTGATTCTAAAGCTGTAGTCTGGATTAGTTTTGTATTGGTACTTATGAGGGAACTTGAGACTGGACAAGAACAGTGTTGTGTAGCTGACACTAGCTTTAAATTTCGTGGCACAAATGATACAGCTTGTGAACTTCGTGGCACAAATGATGCAGCTTGTGACCACTATCTCTTAAAGTTGCAGCGGAGTGGACTGCTGAAAGGGGGGATGATATGTCAGATTGCTTTTTCAGCCATCTCATGGTGGCTTTTCTCCTCTGATGTTATGCATAAATTGTTATTTCCAATTTACCTGATAGCGGTCAAAAAATGAGGAAGAAAGAGACTTAAATTCACCTCATACTTTTTGTTTCAGGAACTTTCTGTATCACATTGCCTTTCTTCCTGGGTGATTAGTTCCAGCCCTCACCAATTACAGCCACTATCTTTCCTTGCTATTGATATTTATGCGAAACTAGTCTTCTCCATTGTGAAGGTTGATGTTTTTGCCTCTAGATTATGTTATTTGGTTTGCTTGAATTTTTATAATGTATTTCATTGTCTTGACTTTCTTCTAAAATTTTCCAGTTCTGTCATGCAGACCAAGGATCAAGTAAACTATATCTTCTGCACAAGGTTTTAGTCCCAATTGAAAAGTTCTTTAATTTGCTGGTTTGTTACCTGGAAACTGTCATTTTCCTAGATTGATGACGTACTTGGTTTTACTACAGGTTTTGGCATTGTCACTGAAATTTATTCAGAGAGATGCGGAGGAGAAGAAAGCATCTTTTAATCCAAGGCCATATTTCAGATTATTCATCACCCGCTGTTGGATTTGATTTCCCTGGATCATGTGTTTGATGGTGCAAGCTTTCAGGTATGGGGCTACGCATTTACGTTGTCCTTTTTTATTTAGTCGGTAACTAATTATTACTATGTTTGTTTAGGTTCTGACATCTTTAGCCAATGCATTTCATGCCTTACAGCCCCTTAAAGTTCCTGGATTCAGGTCAGTATGATAAAAATACTTCATTGCTATGTGGTGGGATGCAGCATTACATGTTTTTTAATCCACAATTGAATTTTGGTTGGAATAACTATTGACCTTGCCCATAGTTAGCGGCAATGCCAGAGGTGCTGCTTTTCTTTCATGAATTGAAAGATGATTTTGCATGGCTACCTGTGCAAAATTTGCTATTACACATACTTCTTCAAGTCAGTGAACTGTTGTGTTTGATACTGTATCCGATATTGGTTTTTAGATCGGCACACTGATGAAAATTGTTTTTCCTATTCTTTTTGATAATTGTTGAAGTATAAATATTTAAGTTACACCCTCTCCAATTGATTAAGCTTTTGAAGTAGTTAGTTGTTTAAGATGGTATCAGAGCAGGAGAATCTGAGTTCGAATCTCGTCGTCACCGTAATTATTAATAGAGTTTTCATATGCTAGGCCCAAAATCTAGCTTGCACGTGAGGGGGGTATAGTGAAGTATAAATACTTAAATTACATCCTCTAACATCATAAGCTTTTGGAGGGGATGGTTGTTTAACAATAATAAAACTTGGAGCCTTAGTAAAAACGAGGTTAAGTAAAACTTATATTCTGTGTAAAGTATTCAAGCATCAAAGAGTCCAATCAGAAACAATTGGTTGCTGTCGATCATTTCTGCAGTATTAAAGATCTGAGGTGGGGAGATTTTTTTTTTTGTAGGGAAACAAGTTCTAACATCAGCTGCTTTTTTCTAACAAGTTAGAAACACATTGTGCATTACTGACTTGGTAGGTTTTTCTTCAGTTTTGCATGGCTTGAGCTGGTGAGTCGCAGAAGTTTCATGCCAAAATTGCTCACAGTAAATCATCAAAAGGGGTGGCACTGGTTTCAACGTCTGCTGGTAGACTGGTTCCAGTTCTTGGAACCATTTTTGAGGAATGCTGAGCTAGGGGAGCCAGTATGCATCTATTTGGTGGGCATTCTTAATCTTTGCCTTCGTGGTTAGCTGCAGCTGATGGTACCTTGCTTTTCTTTTTCTTTTTCTTTGTGTCTGTATCCAGTTTCATTTTCTGTATAAAGGCACACTGGGTGTTGTTAGTGCTGCTTCATGATTTCCCGGATTTCCTTTGTGATCATCATTTCAGCTTCTGTAATGTCATTCCTCCAAGCTGTATTCAAATGCGAAATATAATCCTCAGTGCTTTTCCCTGCAATATGAGGCTACCAGATCCATCCACCCCAATCTTAAAGGTGTGTGATTCGTCAATTACTGCCTGTAACTCTCTGCCAGATCTGTGCCAGACACAACTAATCTCAGAAAGAAACAAGGAACACAAAATCTCATTCAAAGTTATTTGTTAGGAAATTCCAATCTTCCCCAAATAAAATTTAAAAATACATTAAAAACATTAAAAGATAAAATTATAACTCAAAATGGTGCACGTGCTACACACGTTTGCACTAACTAGTATAGATGGATATGAGAGTGGGCAAAATATAATCCTCAGTGCTTTTCCCTGCAATATGAGGCTATAAGATCCATCCACCCCAATCTTAAAGGTGTGTGATTCGTCAATTACTGCCTGTAACTCTGCCAGATCTGTGTCAGACACAACTAATCTCAGAAAGAAACAAGGAGCACAAAATCTCATTCAAAGTTATTTGTTAGGAAATTCCAATCTTCCCCAAATAAAATTTAAAAATACATTAAAAACATTAAAAGATAAAATTATAACTCAAAATGGTGCACACGCTACACACGTTTGCACTAACTAGTATAGATGGATATGAGAGTGGGCAAAAATTAATGTGACAAAAACTTTAAAATTGAAGAATTTTTACTTATCAAATTTGTTTTAATTAGATGTAGTAATATTACTATTTATCTCATGGAGAAATGAGTGATAATTTGAAGGTCACCACAAAGCTAAGATACCAAACCCAAAATCCTAAACTAGAGAAAGGGGGTGGACAGAGAGAGAGAGAGAATCAAATTGGGATTCAAGGGGAATCTGAACGATCAATCCCATGAAATGCATTGTTATGGTTGGGTTGTAGGAGTGGGGTTGACAAAGAATCAAAGGAAAAAAAGTTTTGAGCCGTGAGTTTTTGTTTGTACTTGAGACTTATCCTATTTGAATTTTTGTAGATTGTATTAGTGTATGGTAGTATATTTGCACATTTATGTGTAATAGTGTGTGTTTTAGTTTATTAGTGTGAGTTTTTTGGCATATTAGTGTGCTTGTGTTGATGTATAAGTGTTCCTATGTGTATATTTTGGTGAATATATATGTGTGTGTGTGTTTGGGTGTATTATAGTGTGCATGTGTGTGTGTGTTTTGATGTATTTGCATATTTGTGTATGTTTATTCTAGTGAATTAGTATGTGTTTTTAGTGTATTAGTGGGTGCGCGGGCGGGTGGGGGGGGTATTGGTATATTGTATGTGTTTGTTTTGGTGTATAGGTCTATATTTTTGATTTGTTAGTGTGTGTTTATTGTATTAGTGTGTGTCTGTTTTGATGAATTATTGTACTTATGTGTAGCTTGGTGTATTAGTATATATGTTTGTTTTTTGGTGTATTGGTGTATGTTTGTGTGTGTTATGATATATTAGTGTGTGTTTGTGTATTAGTGGGTGTGTATGTATTTTGGAGTATTAATGTGTGTGTTTCAGCTTATTAGTATATGTATTTTTGTGTATTTGTTTGTTTCGATATGTTAGTGTGTGCATTTTTGTGTGTTTGTGTTTGTTTTGGGATATGTTAGTGTGTGCATTTTTGTGTGTCTATGTTTGTTTCGGTATATTTGAGTGTGTATGGCTGTGTGTGTTTGGTGTATTAGTGTGTGTATATTAGTGTGTGTATGTGTTTGTTTATTGTGTATTTTTTAGGAGTATTATTGTGAGTGTGTTTTTGAGTATTAGTGTGTTTGTGTTTCATGTGTGTGCATTTTTTTTTGTATTTTGGTGTATTAATGTGTGTTTTTGTGTTAGTTTATATTTTTTGATGTATTAGTCGAGGTTCAAAATATTATTTCGATCATCTAAAAAATAGAAACGTTTCGAAAATATAAAATAAACAAATAAAAAATTTGAGAATTTATTTTAAAAACATTTCAAAGCATTGATAGAAACATGATTAAACAACTTGAAACATTAGAATTTTGATTCAATCATTGATTTGTTTCGGTCTCATTGAAACGAAAACGTTTTGGCCATTTCGAAACGATATTTTGATCGTTGGTAAAAGTATGTGTTTTGGTGTAATAATTTTTTTTTTGTGGGTATGTGTTTTATGGTATAGTGTGTGCTTATATAAGAGTTGACTATTTTGCGGCGTAATGGGTTTTAACCTATTGTGTTATTATCCAATCCATTGTATACTTTTATAAAGTGGGTTGAAAATGGATTAAATACATATTACACTGTAACGTGTTATCAGCTTGTCCACAACCCACCCATTTGCCACCACCTTCACATAGAGAAGTCAAATTCACTTGACTTTGTCTTCACTTTTTTTCTTCTGTTTTTTATTAAATTGTGTTTGGTATTAGGCCTAATGTATTTGTTTATGATATTTCTTTATGTGCTTCAATATGACGATTTGGAGTTCTGCCTCACACTTGCATTGATATGTTCACTATTTTGGTAGGTTATTTATTTTTTTTCATTTTATTCTGTTATAGTCTCCTCTATGATCTTGGGTTCTTCCATTTATTATGTCGCTAGATTATCTTAGACTTCTTAGTGCATTGAATGAAAACTAGGGACGGGATACTAGGATTTAAATTGATCACTTGGTATACAGATATAAAGCATTATCTCAATGATGTTTAACCGACTTCTCATTGAGCTATATAAGTTCTTGTGCGTGCCTTGGTTGTATCAATTTTGTCATCGCAGATTATGTTGACACTAAATTTGCTACACTTCCCAAAGATATCTTTTCACAGGTTAGTTCTTTTTATATTTCCATTTTAAATGGTTGCCAATTTTTGTTATATGGAGGGATTATTAATAAGAGTTTCTTGGAGAGAAAGAAAATTTTTGAATATGGGTATCATATTTTCTGTTCAGTTTCAACAATGAGAAAAAATTGATGTAGATTACATTGGGTAGATTATTGAACTTCTTGGTGCTTAATTTATATGTCAAGTGATACTGAATGCTTATGTATAATTAGATATTCTCCATGAAAAAATGACTTCACGATAGTTTCTTTGTTTTAAGTTTTGTGAGGAGGCGGTGAATGAATGGAATCAAGACTTGAATGAGGTGACCGAGGCAAAGAAGAGGGCAGCCACAAAGGGAAGTCCATGGTTGTGACATTTAAGCAGTGCCCTAGGTATGTGAACATATTCAGCATGAAAAAATGACTTCATGATAGTTAATTTGTTTATGTTTTTTTAGGAGGCGGTGAATATATGAAATTAAAAATTGGATGAGGTGACCGAGGCGAAGAGGACAACCACGAAGGGAAGTGCATGCTTGTGACGTTTAAGCAGTGACCTCGGTATGTGAATCCACTTCTCAAGTTCTACAGGAAAAATGTGGGTGTAGTAGTGTAGTTTCTCGCAATCCACATTTGTGTATGAATGAGGATGTAGATTGTCCTTGTTTCTAACTAGTGATATTTCATATTAGATTGTACTTTTAGGCACGGTTATTAGCTAGCCTATATAATAAAACAACTGATTTTTACTGGGCAAAGTTAGAAAAGCACAAGAATGACCCAAATTCATTCTAATTTCATCTCTTCTGATCCACTGGCCCAAATTTTGTTGCCAAAATTTTTTTGCCACCCAAAGTTACAATTTCACCCATAGCCCCTACCAACTCACGCTCTCCCAGATTCTACTGTCAATCTCCACTTTCTTTTATTGCCAGCAAACATCACTATTATCTCTAATTTGCATCTGCAGTTGCCACTCTCTCTCTCTCTCTCGCTAAGCAGCTGCTGCCCAGCCACCACTGCCTTAGCCTAACCCATTCCACCTTATCTTGTCGGCCCTATACCATATCTCTCCGTCACGGCCTAGCCACCACCACCTCAACCAATCCCACCACCATTTCGCATGAAGCAGACCGCCAATGCCTCCCAGCTCCACAATGGTCAGACAACTCTCTCTGGTAAGGATCTAAATCCAAATCCTAATTTAATTTAGGTTGGGTTGATCGAGTATATGTTTTGCAAATAAGATGATTTCCCCCTTTTTCTTCTCTAATTTTCGAACTACTGAATTGGGTTTCCAGTTATTTTCGGTTTCCTTTTTTCTTCTATGATGTTTCAATCTATGGAATTTATGGATATACAAATACCAAAACACACATCTACGCACAGAGCACACAACACATGTACCAACACCAAATCTCCCAATGCAAAAAACCCTTCTCTGCGCACAACCCACACACCCAGTCACGCATGCAGAGTTCTACCTCTTCCTATATGTATTCGCACCACCAGTGTGATGACTTGGTCACTAAAACTCATTTTTTATGCATCCAAACTTTTTCCTGTTGGATTTTTTTTTTTTTTGTATTTGTGAAGTTAGCTACGAAATCGGTGCAAATTTGGGAGTATAGAGAGTTCATCAAGAGTTTTTATCATTAGGGCCAATGATTAGTGATGGATCAGGCAGTCTATGATGTCTGGATTTTGCGTTCTCCTTAATTGCCAATAGTACCGAAGGTTTGTGCTTTGAATAGATACCCCTTTGGTGTCAACTTTATAACTTATTGTCTTTACCACCACTTTATTGATTTCAATGAATAGGTTCAGGTGCGAGTTATGACAAGAAAAAGAAGATAAAAGAAACTATTGCTTTTTTAGTTCCCTGTTGATTGGTCTTTGAACTTGGGTGACCTAATGATTTTGTGGAATTTCAAAATTTTAATCTTTGTCAAGCTCTTGAAAGAATTTTGATTATCTAATTTTGGTGTTGGCATCGGATTGAAGAGAGCAAGAACAACTAAGAACGGAAGTCATGATATTAAGGCCAATATTATTCCAGTAAGCCTCTCTTTCATTGATGTATTGCTAGAGTTGCTTGGTAGTATTTATATTTGATGTTTAGTGCTACTAGTTGTTGCACACGTGTGTTGCACATGATTA